GGAGAGGCGGGAGGAGAAAGTTTCACGATGACGATCGGTGCTTAGAAAGGAGGAGACCCTGCATTGCCAACCTCACCCCTTACGCTGGCAGCACCACCGGCAACAACCCTCGCAGCCTGCACTCCCGAACAATGGAAACAATACATTGAAATGAGAAAGTTGGTTTGCATTGTCGGACAACCGCGGCGTGCAGGGGACGCCGGCCGTCTATCTGTCTTCCACTCGCGCGTTCTCCTCTGTCTCCCTCTTTTTTCCACGCTCGTTTTTCCCTTCGCCTTTTTACCTTTTATGCCTGTGGGCTACGTAACGTGTGCCCGATTCTCTCTTCGTCCCGTGCTCCGTGGCAGCCTCCTCTCTTTATTTTTTTCCCTCTGCGAGAAGACAGCCCCGCCTGGTTTCCCATCGCCCCGGCTGAAAGAAAGGATTGTAAACCGCCGGATGAGCCGCAGATTCCGGAATGGAGACTGCTCCATTCGTCGGTTTTCTCCGGTGTCGCGAGCTCTAGCTAGGCTCTGGCCCGCTCGAACAAGCGCATCAGCAATTAGTCGAAGAGATATTTTTCCCTCCCTTTCTCGGCCGCATTTTAATAAGTTAATCTTGCTCCTTGTGCGCCCTTGTTCCCCGCGTTGTTCGCATACCAGCCGCCGTTCCGATCGTCGAGCACCGGGGACCGACGAGTGGATGGAATTTTTAAACATGTTTTGCTATCGTCGGTATTCGAGCGGAGACACTTTCTAGACAATACCACCGTTCCACGGGACAATAACGACGGTACAATAACCTTCCGTATCGTCCGTGAGTTTTTTAAGTATCCCATTCACGGTAATTCGTTCGTTGTTTCTCGCGAACACGCGCGTCCGTTTCGAGGATCGAGCTCCTGATCGTTCGGGATCATCTTTCACCGGGATATCGAGAAAATTGTAGCAATTTCACTTCCGCTCTGCGCTCACCAGATAAAAAGTTGCTGCACGGTATATCTTGCGGTGAGTTACGGGCCTCGTGGCTGGTCACGTTTCGAGAATCAATCGACGCGTATGTACGTTGTTCAAAATTTATTATTAATGATAGAAGATGTACGAGCCAAATTAATGTCGAGCTTATAAATGAATAATAAATAAATTGTTCGTCTAGTTTTAACGATTAACCGTTAGCGTGGGAGAAAATAAGCTGCTCGATGTCGATAAGTCTTATTAACCGACGAGAATCGTTCATCAACCCGACTCGCTGCAAAATTTACGAATTTTCGCGAATTCATTTCGCCGGTGAAGGATGCGCGCGCGTGATGTCGACGCGTCTCGCGATTACAGAAATTTACGCGACGCGATAGCGATTTCAAAAAAAAAAAAACCTCGCACATTCCCGACGATCGTTCATATTTTACCAGGTCCCGTCAGCCGGCCGTTTCATTTTTCAGCACGCACGGATTAATGTTTAATTTTAATTCGTCGCCGGTTGTCTCTGATTCGCTCGCGAGAGAAAGGCAAAACTAACGAACAGCGAAAACAGAGAGGAAAAAAATGATATGTCCGAGAAAGAAGCGGCAGGAGGGACTTTGATCGCGAGCCATTAATAACGCGTCGGTAAGGCGAATCGCAGCCAGACCTAAAAGGTTGGAAACCGAGTGGTCGTTCGAGTACGCTTAAAGAAGAATCGCGAAGAAGCGGTTGGTTCGGTAGCGCGCGGACGGAGAGGGCGCAAGAGGGTGGTTTCCACGGGATGTTGACTCAAAGCATTACCCAGATGGTCGATGGACGGTTGTGTCTCGAACAGCAAGCGGAGAAACAGAAGAGTACAGCTTCAGAGGCTCTCCCGATGACGTCGAGGGTTGACTAAGGTTAGGCCACTCAACGTATCGCGTACAAGCCTGGAGGAAGGGGGTGGTGAACGCACAAACATTCACATGCGTGCCTGAGAGCGTAGAACGGACGCTCGTCTGCACAGGCACGACCCTTTTCCACTGTTACAACCGCATCGCCGAGCGTATCCGAAGAGGGTAGGTTCTCGAGTAGCTGCTGGAAGGGACGGTAAGCGTATACGGGACGAGGGGAGGCTCTCGCCTCTGCCGGTTCATTCTATCCTTCAGCCGACGGCGTCTATTGTTTAGTTATTCTGATGAGCCAGTGCATTTCAAACACACTCGAGCGGGCCATTATATCGGAGAACGCATCGCTTCCTTTCGCGAGCCGGCCACGTGCGCGTGTCCTCGTCTTTCGTCGTCGCGTCGCTTGTCGTTGTTCGCTGTTTCCAACGACAGACAGCTACTTCGAGGCTCTCGGACATTTTGATACCGTTAATTGGACGGAGATAAGCGTGCGTGCCAGGATCCGAAGGGTGGCCGCACCCCCTATCATCCACTCGTCGTCGAAGAACCTCGTTGATTCTTTGTCGTAAACGATTTCAGGAAACGGTGAAAGGGAAAGGGTGATCGTACAAAGAAAGAGGGGAATTCGATGGTCTTGTTCGCTTTGTTCCCAGCGGTTTATTATAACAGATTTGTACGTTTACCGCTTATATAGGGTGTCACCTAAATCTGACCCTTCGAACAGCGATACTTTGGGCAAATTCACGAAGTGCGCGAAAAAATAATTTTTTGCCGGATAAGTGAAATTTTTAACGAGCTCGCGCAATCACTTTTATCGAACTTTTAATACATTCGCGTTATCGAATTTTCGTTAAACTTTCAGAATTGGTCATTAAAATTGGCCGTTGCAACAATACATACGAAGGTCCATAATCTTTTTACCCTCTTACCCTTCCCCTTCTCTTGTGCGGCGGTAGAATCGAAATTCTCCACTTCATTTATGCTCCTCTTTTTATTCCGGTAAAAAGCTGAAACGGTGAATAGGAACAGAGAAGACGCTTTTTATTCGATCGAAAGCGTGTTTTCACTTGTTAGCGTGCGATTATCCCGCTATTATTCGAAATTAAAAATACCACTTCGATATGTATGGAGCCCCTCCGATCTCTTTTTTTTCCCCCTGAACCTGGGAAAATGGAATTATCGCGATACTCGATTTTCTCGATGTTAATCCGGATTATGAGCCTTGCGTAGGACGAGAAAGGTGTAGCGCTGCTAAAGGATATAAAAACAAAAGCGTACCCGGAGAATATGGAAATTTCTCGTAAACTTTAATTTCCATTCATCTTTTTCCCATGAAATCTCTAGTCACTTTCGTCGTGTATCTAGTTTATGCATTCGTGCTTATAAAGAACGATTTCTCTCTCCGTTCTTTGTGCTTTGCAGCAGAGAAAATGAAAGGCGGTTAGGTTTGATTTCTCGTTTCCAATTATTTCGATATCGCGATGTTCTTGCCGGAGTTCGTTCCATCGAACGTCGAATTAAGGGAAAAGCAAAATGGCGAGGGTGGATAAAGATAGGAGAGGGTCGGTCCGTCTGACGTTATAGAAAATTGAATTACCTTTATAATACGAAATGGACTTCCAGCAACGGGAAATATAAAATTACGCTCATGGTGTGGCGCGTTTTGCTTTGTTCCTTCGGAGAAAAATTCCTGCGGGAGTATGGGGATGTGGGTCATGAGGCATTACGAACAGATTCCGGGAAAAAGAATCTGTAGGAGATAGAGAAATCAAGGAGCAGAATACGGCCGGAGGTAAGTTTTCCTTGAAATAATACAATTCTCGTGGAAGACTATGATTTCCTTTTCGGTGGGGTAGTCGAGCGAGTAGCATGATCAACGATTGGTTTCGAGAGCGCGGCTCCTTGCGGTTCTTTTTGCCCATTTGGAAACGGTCCGCACAGAAACAAGAAAATTCGTTGCATCGCTGACGAAATCCTTCGTTTTTCGCAAAGTCTGCTCACGTCGGTCTCGTCCACGAGGATTGCCGGAAACGCGAGCTATGTTTGGAATTTCTTTGTCAACAGGGGAAGTTAATTAACGTTGACTTCGTTACCGATCGTTGGCCAGCTTTTTGTTCTATTTCCGGCACAAATTCTGTCTCATTTGGAACACGAATATGTCCGATATATTCAACTACGAATTATAACGTAGGAAATAATACGATCCGAAGTTTCATCAATTTTTTTTATTTAAAAGCAAGTACATCGTGCGCCGTTACTTCTGGCGTTAAAATCAATTTAGATAACAACTGTGCTTGTTTCCTGTAGCACCCAGAAACTGTGTTCGTTAATCAGACGTCATTAACTAAAATGTTACGGTAGGGCAAAACGGAGACGCCATATTCGTTGCACGTTTCTCCGGCTATTCGGTGTACTTTGTTGGGCCAGCTTCCAGATGGGCAATGTTGGACAGAATGCGGAATACATCCAGGCATTCCTACTTAAATCAACATAACTCGGGTGATGAATGGTTAACAGGCTTCGCGGGGGACGCAATGTGCTCCATTTATGGAAGCTATTATGGCCGAATTTCAGCGTTAAATGTGTGATTTATGACCAGCCGTATTATCTTCGTTCATGTCCCGCCGACGATACAGTGCACCCTCTACGCGCCTCCTGCCGTCCGTCCAGCCACCGCCTCGCTCCATCCCACTATCCCTGAAAATTACTTTGAACTCGGCAAACCGAGCGAAAAATTCATCAACCGGTACGCAAGCGTCGTGGCTATGATTAATGCCGTTCTGACTGTCGATTAGCGCTGTTAAGAAAATTTATTAAACTTCATTTCCCGCTATTTAATCGAAAACATTTTAGATATTAAAATAACGAAACGACGTAGGTAGGGTAAAAATACGACGTTCCGTAAAAGGAACGAAAACGTTAAGGAATCCACGGGGAACGAAACTCCCCGCATATTTGTGATATACAAGATCCTCTCAGCCGCAATGTCCTTTCTTCCAGAATTACTCTACAGAGAATAGAGAATAGTAGAGGAATAATAGAGTTATAAGTAGAAAATATTGCCAAGTTAACCGGAGCTTTTAGGAGCACTGTTTCCTCGCCTCGTAGTATATTAGGTTTGAATTAGCGAAAGGAATTCGTGGGTTGATTGTAAGCATGTATTCGTCGTTTGTTGCAGGTTGCGATGCCTCGTACGAGATGCAGGGTCCGAGTTTCGTGTCGGAGCCACCGTCGCGGGTGGAATTCACGAACGTGAACGGCGGCAGGGTGGACTGCATAGTCAGAGGAAATCCGGCTCCCACCGTCGACTGGCTGGCAGCGGACGGGGGCAGTATAACGAGTATCTCTGGCATCAGGCACGTCCTTGGCAACGGGACGATCCACTTTCCTGGCTTCGAGGCCGAGGTCTTCCGGCAGGATGTCCACTGGGCCATTTATAAGTGTTCCGCCGTCAACAGCGTCGGTGCCATCGTTAGCAGAGACGTCACTGTCAGAGCAGGCACGCGAAACTTCTTGCTCGTTATCTGTATTATGTTCTCTACCCTCCACACCGTCCCGTTTTGCTCGCTTTCTATCCCACCGGCGACCATCTCGTGAATTCTTTATTCGCATCGACTACCCGTTTCAATGTACAGGAATGGAAAGCTTCTTCCTCGCGGAATAATGCGTCGATCTTGATTGATTGTACCCGTCCATCGATACGGAAATATTTGTCATTTCTTTCGTCGGTGAATGCTTACGTTGGGGGAAAGAACGTTGATGGTTTGTTAACGGGAGTACGGATGCTCTTCTTCGGGGTTCGACGTTCGCGTAACATTCAACATCTTTGTCACGGTCCATGCTGCCGAGTTTACGCGACCACGAATTTTCTTCCGACCGGAATAATTCGACTTCCCGATCGCGGAAAATGGTACAATATGAAATATTTATTCGAATCGAATCCGTGATTTTCTTCGCCTCCTCGTTGGCTCCTGGTGCCGTCGTTCCATTGTATTTATCGCGTGACGCGTATCCAGAATGCGATTCCCGACGAAACACGAGTGTTGATCGAATTCATCGTCGGTTCTAAAATCTCAGAAATTCCGTCCTCTTTCTCGAGTAATTGTACCGCGAGACCGAACGTCGAATCGATGGAATTATTCGAATTCCGTCCGATGAACCGTAACCACAGAAGAGACTTCATTTCCGATGCCGCGCTCCCCTCGGGGATAAGAATATATTCGGTGCAGCGTTGTTTTCGCGTTACGTTTTATCGGATGCTGCTCAAAAACCAGGCTTCTACAAGATTCGGGTGAGTGTAAGGGGTGATAGATAGGGAGGTCGGGAGGATGGATGGAACGAAAGCTCTCGGTGGTTCCGCGAGGCGTCTTAAAAATAGAGCTTCCTCCGGTTCAACGAACCGGAAGATATCTTATCGACCTAATATGCCCGTAAATCATCGTCGCGTGAACGTAGCCCATACCTTTTCAGATTCATACCCGCTACCTCTGCCGCGTCAGCTTCTGGCCTCTGCTCCCACTGTTTCAGTCCTCGCTGTCGTTTTTGCTCGACCCTCTTTTCCCTTTTTTTCTTGGCCGGCCAAGAAACTTCGCTGACTTTGTCCTACCTCGGCGAGAAAAATCTCTCCTCGAACGGATACGTGTATTTCTTGGTGCAAAACGGATGTGATTAGAGTTCCAGTTCCCGTAGGCTTACGTATGCATTCGTCGAACGGGAACCGCCTGGTTGCTGACTTTGCTGAAATCGCGAATCGAATAACAACAATGGGGAAGTCCCGTTTCCGCTTTCCCGGTCTCCTTCGCCTAACTGCATCGGCAATCTCGATTGTCGATCGAAAACACGTACGGTTCGTCCGTTCGTTGGACGTGTCGCGCGCCTCTCCAGGAAATTTTATGCGATCGGACGAGCTCGTTCGACCGTAGTTTCCGGTCTTTCCGAGGAGATACGCGTCTCGGTGAATCTCGCAGGAAATAAGGGCGAGGGTGACTAAGCTGATAAAAGGGGAACGCGGGTGGCAAGCAACGATTGCCCTTTGCGAGTGTCTCGAGTCGATCGAGGGTGAGATCGCGCGGGGTTGGTCTGTTTAATTTCAATGAGTTTGCTCTACAAAAGAGCAATCTTTTGCGGCTTTCGGGCAACTGGACATTTTGGGAATCGTTTGCCGTGGTAAATGGTTCGTGCCAGTGTCGAACAGATTGTTTTCGTAAGCTTCACGATAATGTACTGTTAGCTTAGATTTCATGAACACGATAAACTTTCGTGTACACGCTCGTTTGAACGCTATTATACAGAATAACGGATGCGAAAAAGTTAGTTTCGACGAGGATAAAGATAATTAACGCGATAATTAAATGTTTCGTGACGCTTTAACGGTGATTTTGGTTCTTCTTCCAAAGGATTTATCGATCCGAATTAACTGAAATTAATTGCAAAATTTAATCGCGCACTTTTCCCACGTAATACATTCGATGTTAAGCTTAATTACATAGTAATATGTTCGCGAAGCGCGATAAGATTTCCTCGGACTTTTTCAACGCATTACCTCCTCCAGAGTAAAATGAAGCTCGTGTTTGAACTCGCTCGCCTTGTTCATTTCGATATAATATCGTTTACGTTTTGCGAGCTTTACGGTGTACGAGAATCGGGCTTCTTTGTCTGGATTTAACCAGCAGTAGTTTTGGTCTCGTTCTCATTTAACGAACTATTTTAAGGCACGCTGGTCGGTCGGCGACCAAAGAAGTTAATTAAGGTCTTCGAAGAGGAGGGAAATTACGTTCGGGCAAGAAAAGCTGGCCCGTCCTCGGTAATAAAGTAAAAATTACTTTTCCGAGTCCATTATGTCGTTCTCGAGCCGACGTTGTTAATCCTCCAGGACCGCGAACAAGCAAACGTAAAGAACAATGATACCGTTCCGAAGAAGAGACTTAAGGAGGTAGACGAAGAAATACAGCGGGCCAAGAAAACATTGAATAGGAGTCGCGAATATCGGTGACAGTAAAAACTAGTCTTCGAACGAGAGGCCGAATGGTTGTTGACGAGACTTTGCCTAATACCGGTTTTCTATGAAACTGGTCGCGAAAATGCTGGTCTTGGAACAAACGAAGGAAAGCTTAACGACGTTTGTACAAAAACAACGTCACGCCCTATTGTCTGATGTCGCGATTGCGACGTACAATGTCTTCCACTTCCGTCGCGAGACGCATTCCGGCCCGATTTCCCTAAGACATTTGTTTCCTTCCGTTTACTCGGCACAATACATTCCGCGGTTATTCTTCTCGCAAATTTCGTTGTTCCAGTTTAATTTCGCGCCAGCTAACCTGACGGAGTTAACGAGAAGTCTTAACGATCATCGGGACCGTGTACGAATAATCGGTATTACCGTCTGAGAACGTTTTCGGTCAAAGACTGGGGTGTTGGATTATCGAAAGTTTTAATGCACCTTTGTTATTGTTTTCCCTTCGCACCGTGAATTTTTATCGACTACGTAACAACTCTGTCCTGATTGGCAATTGAAACGACTACTCTCCGAGGCACGATTCGTGGCTGAAATCGAAACGTTTGAATATACATGTGCCTCTTGTCGGTGAATTCATAAAATGGGTGGGACGAGGAAGATGCGAACGCGTTTTATACTTTCGCGAATAGTTCCTTCGTCGGATGAAAAGCATCCGCGGAATTTCCGTCCCACGGTCGTACGGGATCTTCCAGCCATATTTGACATGCTCGAAACAAGACACTCCGAGCAATCTTATTATCATAACCGTGCAATGTATTCCCATGTGTCGGATAGACGGGAGGAACTTTCGCGAAAAAACGAATTTCCGAGTTATAGGAATATGTTGGAAAATGATCAATGTTCCCTTCGGTGAACAAACATGTAAAAAATTTATATTGTATATCTTTCGATACGAGTACGGAATCGATATATAAAACTGTTAATTAAAATTCTATATATGATAGGAATAAAAAATTTAATAATTCTCCATCGTTCTTCCTTCTCGTTCGAGTTCAACTACGTATGATCTTCGTTCTCTTTGCAGTGCTACGTAGCAGGAAAAAAAGACAATTATTTTTAATACGAAGCAAGCCTGTGTTTTCGTTGCGAACGGCTGTATAGAGGCTGAATTTCCTTCGAGCACCGTTGTCGCGTGTTACACGTGTGAACCACTTTTTTTCGCCGCTTTGACGGCGCTGAAGCACGTTCTTCGCAATTTTATTCGGTGAGAACGGAATCGTGGAAATTTTATACGGAAATAATTATCCAACGTCGTGTCGGCCGAGTCGGATCGCAAATTTTATTTTATCCCGTTAAAACGAGCGCTAAACTTTGTTACAGAAATTTCAACCCTGGTTTGGCTTTTCATTTTTATCCTACGCTCTTGAACACGGTTCTTTCATGCTTTTAATATCAAAAGCAAGCTATGTTTTCTAGCTTCGGTTCTATTTTCATCACGAATTTCCCTTTCTCTTCGATCGTTCATTTTCGTTTTTTACTCGACACGATATAGTACACAAGTTTTGAATACGTTTACTATCACGAAGGTTAAATCGATTAATTTTCTCATCTCGAACGATGTTCCGTGACTCGTCGATCCGTCGCAGCATCAAGTATAACGAAGGTATAATTACAACGTAGCGGCGTGTCTGTAAAAGGGCTCTCGGTTCGTCTCCGTGGAAAATTCGAGCTGCCGAAAAAAGGAGCGTGGATTTCGCGCACCGTAGGGCATCTCTCTCTTTTCTGGCAGGTGGCTGAGGGGGATAGGAAGGATGGAGTTAGGCTAGGACGGACGTCGTTTCCTCCTCTTCCCGTAGGTTTCATGGTTTGTAAATATTACCTGCCACGATACGTCTGCCGAGTTTATGCTTGGCTTGGTTGCCGCGTAACCGAGAGCCGTGTGATACGGGGTTGGTAGCAAGGCTGTGGAAACGGCTGGGGGCAGAGAAAGAGAGAAAGAGAGAGGGGCAGGGGGTGGCAGCAGAGGGAGAACTCACCGAGTTTTTACCCCATTCTGGAGTCTGAGTGCCTCGCTCCGCTGACTCTCGAAACGGGTTGCAGAGCCGGGTCCTACTACACACCACCGCATTTTCCTTTACCCAACCCACCGCCACCCCTTTCGACTATCCGCACGATCCACCGTCTCTTTTTTCCCACCACGATTTCTCGTTCTGCGTCCTTGCCTCTTCCACCCCCCTTCCAGGCCTTGCTTTCTCGCCAACCTTTCAGCCAGAGACCATCAACTTACGCAGAATGCTGGCTCATGGTCGGATTGGGACAGCCTCGAGATTTTGGATAAGATACCGCGACCCTTTTAAGGGTTTCAATCCTGTTCCCTTCGTCGTAGGCTGTTTTCTATCGGACTCCGAGGAGGCTCCTCTTGCCTCGATTAACGAGAGATCCGGTGCCCCATGCGGGCGTGACGAGAAAAAATGTCGGTACTCTATAGAACGGGGAGTTCACCGTCATGGGGGTAGTTTTGTTGCGGATCGATGATACTCGTGCGCTATTCGTGGAAGAAACCTGGGGTACGAGAGCATTGTTCTGCGTTTCGAACACGTTCACTGCTAAACCGTACATATGTGAATTTACACTGACGCGTGTACTATCATCGTGTATTACATCGTCGCTCATATTTTCGGCAACTACGGTCGAATTCCTATGAGTCGTATCCTTGCGAATTATATTCTTGACTCCTTAAGCGTTGACTCGTACTCCTTGAGCGTCGGATTTTCGCTAGCTGGATTCCCCACTTGTTGGATCCTCATGCGTTGGACTCGCATACGTAGAATCCATACGTGTTGGAGTTCCACATATTGAATCGCCTCGCGTTTAATTTCCACGTTTTCTATTCCATATCCGCGCTTGTCGTTTCGAAAAACACTCCTAAATTTTTTATATTCTTAGGCTTCGAAAATTTAATCCGATTCGAGACTTAAGCTGCGCGAATAGTTTCGAAATTTTTCAAGGGTTGTTTCGAATCTAAAATTTTGTTATTTTTTTGCGTGGATTAATTCCATCGAGATAACGAGCGTCCAGGGTAGCTTTTTAGTCGGATCGATGTTGGTTGTTCGCTACACGCGAAATGGAACCAGGAAACGGGCGCGTTGTGTTTCGTTTTTAAAAATGTTTCGCGAGAAACAGGCAGTAGAAAGCTCTTTCTCGGGATCTCTTTTTGTCTGGTGACTGTTGTGCGTGTACGAAGAGTAGCAGTCGGGTTTGTGTTGGGTAATTATCGTGGGCCTGGAGAACCGTTCTTTCTTCGCGGATACATTATTTCCACTTTGTCTCTCTTCGCCTTCAATTTTCATTAGAATTTCTTTTTTCATACCGCGGACCTTTATCGCGACCTCGGCCTCATCGCTATCGAGACTTTTTTAATTAAGGGCTCGGCTTCGCTTCATTTGGAGCCGGATCCGCTCTTTTTTATCCCGCTTTCGCCGTATACCGTGTAAAGTTGATTCCGTGACGACGGGTATCAACATCTTGTAGTTACAGTCGTGCACAAAGCCGGCTGGATTTAATCCGAGGTATCGCGCCCTCCATTTTACCTTACACCCTTGCTTCGCCACTTAACGACCTTTTTTTTCGTCTTCGCCACCGTGTCCTCTAGCACAGAGACAATTAAGTCGCGCAGACTGCCGTCAGAAGCGAATTCGAGGAACGTGAGAACCGTTGGTCGATACGATTTTAGCAAATATTTCTGTGGAAACCGACCAAGATATTCTATTCTAAAAATATTTGCTTCGATCGACCAGCCAATTAAATTTAACTCCATTAAATTGTATCACGCTGCCACGAGGGTATAACATTTTTAACCACGAAATTCAGACGTGTTCCGAAATGTTATACACTCGGTTGCGATAATTGTTTTGCATAAGTTAACAATTTGCACGAAGGAAACTACCGGAAAACTTTTATGTCCGAGGTCAACATTCTTAGGAGGTTTCCTGCGTGTCCCCGGTATATCTCTGGTAAGAGAACCAGGTCCGTATCGATTCGTCGAAATAATTTAGTCTTCGCCGCTAAAACCGCGCTAAGTGAGCTAGCTGCGCGGACCAACGAGACCCGTGGCACGTTCCGCGTTGCTATTAATCCTTTGTGGTCCATTTATTCGGTAGATGAAATCGGACTTGCCGACTCGTCGACTATTACAGCGAGAGCCCCGGGAGAGGAGAGGTTAAGATTAGAAGCTTTTTGCGCAATATCAAAGCTCGAAAAACTCGGAAATTCCGGAAAGCACATATTTATTTTAGAATTTCGCATACCTTCATACCGGCACGTTAAAAACGATTCATTACTCCAGTTTCATTTTGAAAATAGTTTCTACCGAGCTATCGGATGATGGACGAATTTTTCGCGAGTTTTCGATATTTAGCCGTAACGAAGTAACGAAAATACGAGAAATTCCCGGGCATAGTTTGACGAATTTTTCACGTTGACGATAAACCGACGGTTTTTTGAGCAAGTAGATCCGGATCTCGTAGCACCGGTACTTTAGCCTCGCTTTAAAGCGGCCTGTTGTTTGCGTGTTTCAGTGGTGAACCAGCGTTACGATCCGGAAGTGCAGTGTCCCGGCGGTTTCCTCGGCAACAACGTACTTATGCGATGCAACGTACCCAGTTTCGTTCGCGACCACGTCACGATCACGTCTTGGCTTCAGGAGCCGTCCTTCAATATCTACCCGTCGACGATGGGAGGTAAGTGTCGTTGCGTAATTCTACCGAGCTCCTACAACCCTTTGTATTATACTGTTGCACATCGTCGACCGATTTCGTAACGTCGAAAGTTTTTCAAAACCTTATATCTTGGCTGTGTTTGTTAATAAGATAGGCCAAAATGTAAGTTTAAAAGCTCCGTACCAGAAAGAGAAAATGTCAATACAGATCTGTCGATAATAGCATATTTTCACTGCAGAGTTTTAATAGAAAATTGGACTGCGATTTACGTCGTCGAATTTAAGGTAGAATCCGTGACACGGTCGTTATAAGGCAAGGGGTTAATGACGACCTCTGGTAGGCAAATAAAAACGGGCGTAGAAAATCTGAGGCAATTTTCCCGCCTCAGAAGGCGTATTTCTTTTGCGATGCGAAGCGTTATTCTCGTCGTTGCGAATTCATTCAGCTACGCCGGCTAAAGATCTCGCGAGAATGAACTCGAGGATTGCGCTCCGGGAGAATTTTCCACGGTAAATATCGAGACCGGTTTTCAGAAAATCGTGGCTCGTGGAAATAATTGAATGGATCCGAACGAGGTCAAGTTACGTCTTGCGCACGAAGTATGGTGTCTCTTTCTCGGTTTCCACGACGTACCTCTATTTCGCCAGATAGAGTTCCACCATTTACGATCAGGGGTTGTTCGGAAGGAGTCGCGTGATCGAAGCGTTTTAGCTTCCGATTGCACTCGACACGCGATCTTCTGGGGATTGTTTTTCGTCAAATTCGGAACGATGAGCCGTGGCTTAGATTTATGCCGTAAGCTTATTCCGACGCGAAAATAAGAAAATCAACTTCTTTTTCGGTATTCGTGAAACGTGTTCTTTCTTTAGAACAATCTCTATCGACGTCCGGACTTACCGAACTTTAATCGATGCTCTCGGAAAGCCTCTCAAGGAATATGGAAAGTTTCGTGAAGGCAGCGAACATGACCGGCACGTTTCAAGTTCGAAAAAAGCGTATCCTTCGAGTTTCCGGTTTGAAAACGCGTAGATGGTCGGTCGCCGGATGCATTGTGCCGCAAAGTTTTCGCTCCGCGAGAGCCGTGAAGCCGTTAACGAGGAAAACTTCATTAATTATGGAGGAGTTCGATTAAGGTATGCCCCGTAAAGTCGGTTCTGAATGTGCTCTCTAATAATCCAGACGGATTTGTTAATACGTTCATCAATTGCCGCAAGACGATCGATAGCTGGCCAGACTTCCGTCGAAGGTTCAAAGTTGAACGAACTCGAACCAAGAGGAAAAAAAGCAGAATGGTCGTAAACGAAATCGACCACGCGATCGAACATTCGCTGCTATTCTATTCTGCGCGATTGAAACGCGATTTCTGTTCGCAGATGGCAAGTATCACATGCTTTCGAGCGGAGAGCTGATGATACTGAACATCACGAGGGAGGACGCGGAACAAACTTATCGGTGCAGGACGCATCATCGTCTGACGCAGGAAACGGTCGTCAGTAGCAACGTTGGCAGGCTTCAATTGACTGGTAAGTGCATTAAAATCCGCTTTACCCTGTCACGGATAAGATAACGCGTTTCCAGCTAACGATTCGCGTTACTCCGCTGCGATCGAAAATTCGTAACGCCACTAGACTGCGTTTATTCCACTCGACGAAATAATTAACACACCTTGTTGCTTGCTACGTGCCGCGTTACGTAATTTCGGAGAACCCACGTTGTTTCACCGTTATCGCGAATAATTCCGTCTCAGAACGATTCGAAGATACTTTAATCGACGTGAAACAATACGTTAGCCGATGTAAGGGATGTTCTTTCATCGACCAAGTATCAAAAGTCTTGTACGTTTCATCGGATTATCGAAGATTAGCGCGCTCGAACTTGCTCTACGATTCGTTGTTAATATTCGCTCGTTCGTCGAGATTAACAGTTTCAGGGAAATACTGTTTTGGCTAAGTAAATGTATTTCTCCTTAAAAGCTTGTACACGTTCGAACTCGGGCACATTTCCTCGCTGCACCTCCGTTAACTCGGCTAATAAAGTTTTAATACAAAACAGAGGAGATTTTAGCATAAAGCGACGGAGAACGTTAACGAGGGTATCAAAGGAACGACGTTAATCCTTGCCGTGTATCTTGAGTCGCGTATCGAGTAGAAAATTAGGGAGAGCCCGACGCGATATTTGCACATTTTTTTTTTACGAAGATTGTCTCCATCGTCGACGCGCGCGTGTCTCGTCGAACGCGAATATCCGCGAACGAGTTAATGAGCCATCGTGTGATTGGCGTTCGATCAAAGTAAAAAAAATTCCCTTAGCTCGGTGTAATTACCAGGCTCCGGTGACGAGATCCCCCGATCAAGAGGTCGTCTGAAAAGCTTTTCCTCGGGTCGTTTTAAACCAACTGGCATCGCGCTTGTTACCTTGGCGAGGTTCGCCGCGTAACTTCTGCTTTGGGGTTAGTTGCACGTGGTTGGAAGCGGAACAGCAAGAAAGGGAAAAAATATACACGGTTGAAAAGACGAAGAAGACGTGGAAGAAGAAGCGGAAAAGGGGAGAAATCTCCACTCGAGCCGGGCTAACTAATGATGCTTCTCTTCACATGCCACACCCCTACCCTTCAGATTCACTGGTTCAAGCTTCAGACGTGCCCGGTGCGATGCGTGCAAACGGAAGGAAAAAAAAAGAACCCGGAAGTTGAAGACATTCTGCACGTTCCTCGCCACCGCGTTGTAATTTTCGATGCTAGAAAGGGTCATAATTCATCGCCTCGTTTCTTCTTCGCCCCTATTCGTATTTTATTTCGCTCTCTTTTTTTTTTTCGTTTGTTCGATCGTTTCGGAGCATTGGCCTGTCATCTAGTCGATAAGTCCGCGCAAGCTGCTGGAGTGTAATTAATATACCGGTGGATGCAACCTCTCGCGATCGCGACGAAAGTAAACGAAAGTGCGCTGAAAATTGGATTCGCTCTACGATGGTGTATGACATCGTTGGAATCAGAAACGACTCGGTTAGCGGTTACATTTTTAATCGCGGCAACGTAACACGCTCGAAATTATTATTCCAGCTTAATTAACATTATTACACGTGGTCGGTAATTATTGCGCGAGAAGGACACGCGAAACGCGCGGAGGTACGATAAAATACCGGAATTTAACGCTCACAGCCCACGGTAGAAATATCTTTGTATAGCGCGATGCGTAGTATTTTGTAATCGCGAAACTTGTAGGAATTTGTTTTTGAAAATGCACCTTTTGTTATTACGATATAGCGTGCTACAATATTTGTGAACTTTTTTATTTCCCTTTGTCGATGTATCGATCAGCCACGTACATGTACATTGCGACGTATTTTGAATCGTGTTTAAATATAGAAATGTAGTTTTGGAAATTGATGTACAATATCGTACAACGTTGAACCATTTCAAAGTATTAGTAATTATTTAGTGTCACCAGTATATTGTTTGTCCACGTTAAAATTGTCTACAGTTTCATATATACATTATAAATACGTTCGTGTTAATATTGTAAACTGTGGGCGGTACAAATGTACACGTATGCAGGCATACCGGTTTGCATTACATTTGTAACGTCGAATCAAAAACATAGCAGCAAAATTAGTTTCCGTTTGCAGTATCTGCCGAGTAGGATACTTTGTAAATTGACGGCAATCTGGATTCTAACGAAGGTCCGTTTTAATAGTGTCCTCGTAAAATATAAACGGGCCACTTTCGAACTATCTTTAGACTGTCTAAACAACGTGGTCGTAGGTAAATCCTAAACGGGAGTATTATAGAGTACACAGGGAACAGCATGTTCTAAATCACCTGGCACAAATATTTAACCGCGCTGGAAAATTCGAGCGTATATCGAACATGGGAAATTGTGTTTGCAATTCGTGCATCAGTTCGATCGTGGATTTCGGTTTAATGGAATAGAGGCTTGTAAGCGGTTGTTTATCGCGAAGTAGCCGAAAACTGGGTGATATTTGCTCATCACGATCGAAATGGAAGTATGCATCCGTGAAGATTCACGCTACTAGGAATTGTTTAGTGTCCTATAGATAAACGCTCGTGTTGTGGAAACATTGTGCACCCTTGTTATCTAAACAGAGATTACCTCTAACGAGATTGCAAATTATTATTAGCTCCTGCATGCTACGTGATTTTGGAAACGATGCCTCGAGTGCAAGCGCTGCGTAATTGTTCATTTCGTGCGGACTCGTTCTGCGATTGTTTATAATAACTATTCCTTCGGTTAACGAGCAACGCGTTTACGTTACCAACGCGCTATATTCTGCTAATAACGGGCTTCCACGAGGACCGGTGCAATTCCAAGAATTTCCCAGTCTTACGTACTGGTCGATGCTAGCATAACGAGAATTTAATACCGAACGTCGAATAAATTTCGATAAAGACAGTTTGGAATGTCATCCGAAGTGTAATATTTGGAAAGAAAGCTGTTTGCTCGACATGATCCGATTCTTCCAAGCACTCGTCTCGGTGTAGCCTTAATAAAGTCAGGCCGTTTTCAAGCGGGCTATAAATTTATGCTAAGCGCACTTACAGACTTATGAACTTAATAATGAAGTTCTCCGGTGTGTTCGATCGTTTGCATATTTCGAGGCCCTAGTATCTGCTTGCTTACCTCTCTCGTCGCTCATGGTTAGAATACACGAAATTAACATCTAAAACGCGATACACAATGACTTGTACCAGCAACGCGGAAACTTTTCGAAATTATCTGTTTGCGTCGGAACGAAATTTTCAAATTGCAACGAAGTTCGAGTTTATCGCGTGAGAATCAGTATGCAGTTAACACGTTTGTACGTTGGGGAACAGTTTTTCAGCGTATCGCGAACTCGTAAAATAATTCTATTGAAACGGGTGTCGCATTGTTCGTTTCCTCGTTCACGGTATTTGAACTTTTGATCCGTGTAAAAATATCGTAACCGTGCGCGATTCGATCAACGCCTTCGAAATATCTAGACACGAATTTAGGAATTCGAAAATTTATTTCGTCCATTCGACGAACATCAGCGTAACGAACACGTTCTCCCTACGTCGCCAATTTCCGCAGGGAAGCGAACCGTGCTTGCCAATGTGCAGGACCCTCGGTAACAAGGAAATAGGGATACCGATGTATCGACGGTGACATAACGGGTTACAAAATGGACGGCTGGCTTCCCATTTTTCATGGTCGTCCAAAGATATACGTCAAAGCGAGTTCGCCGAGGAAATTCCTAAATCACTCGATGGGAAGACACAGACGAGCGGATTCGAATTCTTGAAGGCGTGCTTCGTTTCGCGCGAAATACTTGGCATATTCTCCCCGATGAGGGTAAATCTGCGCTCGACACGAACTGCTCGTCGCTTTGCATCCTTTCGATTGGCCACGTTCATCGACGATTAAAAGCCGTACTTGGCGCGTCACGAATATCTTCTTTCGAGCTCGGGGATAGCGTGACGTTGAAACGGCAATGCAACGAACAGTATTGAATTTCCTCGTCGAACGAAACAGCACGCGTATTGTGTAACGGCTCGCGTGTCACTCGGTCCTGCGAGCATGTTTCCAACCATCGATAGAATAATCGATGGATATTCGTGATTTGGTGGGAAGGGGAGCGACGAAGAAGACGATAACGGCCAGTTAATAACGAAGCGCTACGCGTCGAGCCGCGAAAAACGATGCGCTTTAATCGAATCGATTGTCGTTTCCATAGCAAACACGCGGGACCACCTTTGTTGTAATATTCATTAACGCTTTATTACGATATCCTGTGGTGTTCGTAACACCTGTCTGCCTCGTACCGTTTTATTTCGAGCATCGCTAATTACCAGAGTATCTGTTAATGAAATCTTAATGAAACGAATGGCTTAATTGCCCTACTATTGACAGTTTGCGATCGTTCTTTGGGGAATAGCCCTTTATTGAAAATGCAGACTTTCTCTCCGTGACTGCGATCGTTTCACGTTCTCGCGACAAAGGTTCGATACGATAATAGCTTGTTCGAAATGCCTTTACCGAGGATCGAGAAATTTAGGAATAACGGATGGCAAATTTTGTCCAAATAGCTCCAAGTTATCAGATATTTTTATGGCACGGCACATTTTGCGAGGAGTCACTATCTCGCGACCATAATTCCCCATTAAAGGTCTTGTCTGATGCGTGCGCCGTTCCAACCCCCGTTACTCTCCTGCTTCCTTTCCACCCGATCCTTCTTCTGCTTCGTCTTTTTCTTCTGCTCCTTCCTGTTTCTTCGCCACGGTGAACCGTTGTTCCCGTGTTCCTTTTTCAGCCGGCGGCTATTTATGACACGCCGTGGAAGACATTTCCCGTATATCATGGAACAAAGTTACATGAACTCGTCATGAGGGAGCAAGAGGGTGCGTCGGTGCCGCAAAGTAACCCCTGTTGTTCGTGTACGTGTAACACTCTGGCTCGTGTATCTGTTTTGCCAGGAAAAGGAAGATCTCCCGAGAATCTTGAAGAAAGTATTTCCCTCTCTCGTTTCCTTTTTCGCTTGTTTCTTTTTACTTCCTTAAATCTCCCGCGATATTGTCACTATCAATTTTCCAAACAATATAATTCAATACTCTTTCCTGCCGTATTTCGTGTATCGTTTATGTTGTCGATTCGAGAACCCATGGTTTTTCCTAGGGTTTCCCCAAACTTCTCTTTAGGATATCAATAAGCTCGCGTACACCGCAATATCTTTGCTCGGTAATTTACAACGATCTGTTTTTAATACCGCTCTTTTCTTATTAAACGCCCTCCCGACTTTCAACGGCGCCCCGTTTGTCGGTGTATTTCGCCATGAATATATATCGCGTACGTCGCGAGGAAAAATTTACGCGAACTCATCTGGGCAGGAATGGGGTGTCTCGTCGAAGGAAGCTGTTCTTCCGGCAGCCAAGATATTAAAAGGAAATTCCTCTTCCTTTTCCGCTATTGTCCAAAATCTCCGTAAAGTTTTTTTTCTATTTTCTTTCCCGCTGGCAAGCAAGCAAGCAAGCAAGTTCGCCAGGGGCGGAGATATTTCTTGATTGTTTCACGCGTCGGAGAGTTCACCCGCGTTCCTTTGTTCGGGACACTTCGACGGCCTGTCGTTGAAGGATTTATGCTTGATCGTTTTTGGCTTTCTCTGCTTGCAGAGATACGGAGCACCATGCCGCCGATGATAAACGAGAAGGTGGTTTATATGTCTGCTCGCCTGAAAGACACCATTGTGATACCTTGCGTCGCGTACGGCAATCCAACACCTACCAACAGGTAAGAATATCAAAGATATCTTGAGATAACTCGTAGTCACAATAGTGTTTTTTCCTCGCGTTGGTTCGGTGTACTCGATGGCGTCGGAGTTAAATAATGCTCACGGATAAATGGAAACGCTCCCACGCGCGATCTTTAATTAACTATATTTTTACGTCGAGACGTTTGCGTCAACTATTTCGTTCGTTCTTGATTACGCGAAGTGTTTCCTCTGCTTTTACCGTCTACTTTTCTGTCTCTTTTAGAAGAAACGCGAAACTTCTTCTCTTCGGAATCAACCGAGAAAGTATGTCACTCTGCTCGGCAAAAGATATTTCAAAGTTTCAAAGAGAAACGAGAGGATAATACACCGAGTGCGTTATTTCCGTAGCGTTGAAAGCAACGTCTCTCGAAAAGTAATACTCGATTAAAAGTCGAATGTTAGTAACGACATCGTAATTACTGACAAATGCCTGGAAACCGAAAGCGAGGAAAAAAATAGTCTTTGTATCGCTGTAGTACGCCGTTTGACTTCTCGTGCAGTTGCGCGATAGAAAAGAAATATACAATATTTCGAGAATCGGCTGTTCCTTAATTGCCGACTTTCGATGCTCGAGTACGGTTCGCTTACTTGGCAAACAGTTTCCCCGATACAACGTCGAGGGCAATATGCATTCGGGAAGTTTAATTGGCTCGATTTTGCGGGGATCACGGCTCCCTCTGGCATGAAAAATATTTTGATCGGTGCTCGACGAGGAAAACAAAAGTTTTATTAGATTTTCGCGCGTATTCTCGTATTAACTCGCTTCGAAGTAGTTCTCTTCTTTGCGAACGCTGAATTTTCATTTTATTTATAGCTACGCTTGATCGCGCGAGCTACACTTTATTTCCTACTTCGTTCAAATAAGTTAATTTAGTTCTTGGACATAATTTTTTGCGAATCCGACTATATACGCGGCATGCATTTGCAAGCGTTAATTAATGCCGGATAAAGTTAAAGACCGAGAAGCTCACAGCATCTTGCATTAATATCTCGACTTTATTCTCCTTCATTTTCCGTTATGCAATTAAACAAGCAGCCATTTACTTCTCCTCGTGGACCGAGTTGCCGTCGTACAAACTAATCACTGGACGTCGCGAAAGTAGAAAGTAACGGTCGTCGGGGCGAATTAAAAGGAGCTCTTCAGATTAATAAGACACCCCGAGTTATCCTCGAATCTCCGGCCGGAACTTCCGTTAAATCATCGACGATAATCCGTGGCAGCGATGCGGCGCCGTGGACGAGGATTATAACGTTATTGAAATGTAAAAATTTCAATTTTGCTCGTAGTCTCTCTCTCGGTCGTATTCCAGAATATGGAACACCGTCGAGGAATAACGTTATTTCGAGGCGAATCTCCTCCCGCTGCCAATTCCGGCGCTGGTCTGCTCGTGATTCTGCTCGAAATAAGCCGGATGCGAGCATTCTTTTCTCGCTGCAACTTTTCTCCGCTAGAGAAATCTCGCGATTCGCGGTGCGATTTCGTTCGAAAATGACCAGGGAGTTAGGCGAGCGACGGTAATGACCCAAGATACGAGACCCTCGCGATTGTTCGCGGTAATCGAATAAGTTAGGACGACTCGAGGAGAGACTCTGTTTCTCCTGTTTCAACGGCGGTGCCAGTCACGACGACAAAGTCCGGTTATTTTAGGTATTTTCGCGACTAACGGACGAAACATACAAGACTCGTCGATGCGCGAGGCTGTATTATGCGACGAGAAGCGAAGAACGAAGAGGGTGAAAAGACTCGGTCGTCTTTGACGATCGAGAATTCTCTTGCATAGGTTACCCCCCGCGAACTTTCGTCGAGTTGCTTTGATAAAGATCGCCCGTTCGTTCGGTCGATATTAATGGAGTTTCTTTGGCGCTCGGTCTCGAAACTTGGACTCCTTTGCCAGCTTCATGAATCGAATAAAGTCGAGCAAGAAACAAAACGACCGAACGTAATCGAGTCCAGGAATCAAGAGGATAGAAGAGTTTGCGAGCAAAAGCGCGTGGAGCTGAAATCGTAATAAACGTGCCGGTTGGACGACTCGCGTTTCGCGGTGTACTCGCGAAAATAAACGGGATAGAACGACGAGCGGTCAAAGAGATTCGCGCATTAGAATTTTAATAGGTCCGTTATTCGATCGCGCGTGATCGAAATGACAACGACGACGAGTTCATTAAACGACGAGCGTATTAACGTTGTCTTTTTTTACGTGGCAACGATCGTCGAGAAGGTCCTGCAGCGACTGTCGGTTGGCTCGTATACAAGATTATCCTGTCGGGACGAGAACTGATTTAGTTTCGCCTTGGACGCAGTGTTATCGAAACTGTTGCGTCGAGCCGTGTAACTCGTAAACCCGTTAAAATCGTCGGACGTTAACCGGCGTAGATGTCCCTATTCGTAAACGGATATCACCGTGTCAGAGAGGTATCAAAATTTTAACGAGTTTCGACGCGAGCCGTGAATAATTCGATACGAGCGCCGCTTTATTAACAATTCCCTGTCGCCTATGTTTGACAGCCGTAATTAATTTCGCGGATCGAGGCTGAGTTCGACGCCAGTTTCGTCGATCGATAACCGCGATACGCCGCCCGCGATATCGACGTTCTTCGAGATACGTCTGTTGTACGATCGATTAGATAAAAATCACGGGATATAGGAGACGCGATAAACGCGCACGCAGTTTCTCGCGGGCAGGATGGCAGAGCGGGTGCACGCGCGTAGGCAGAAGGCGTGTACATAGACGCATGGGTGTATGGGTAGCGCAAACAAACCGACCGCTGATTACAGAGACTGCTTCTGACAGCCCATCAAATATTCCGCATTTACGTGTACGCCGACGTCACTGACGTGGCTGTTCACCGTATTCCCTGCCTCTCCTTCTTCGCCTCTCTCTCTGCCTCTTTCGCGGCTTCTCCTCTCTTCGAGCCGACGAAGAGAGCGCGCTGTCTACCGAACGGAGAAAGAGAGCGGGCCAAAGGATAAGCAAGAACGAGGAGAGAGACGAAAAGTCGGAGAGTTTGCCAGTGTGGCCCAGCTTCTATCTCCGTCTCTCTTTTATCTCTATCTCGTTTCCTCGCCAATTTCCCTCCGTAAATTCGATTATCTATAGGTATACTCCTCGTCGTCGACCCCTCCGTCCTCCTCTTCCACCGTCCCTGGTTTCGTACCGTACGACTCTTCAACCTCATCCGGAGTCCTTCCACACCTCCTACCTTATCCCGGCTCTCGCGAGTCGACCAACCTTCGAGAGCTTGTGACGCCGCTTTTCGAAACTATCGTGGACGAAGTCGATGACCCCGACGGAGATAGACCGCAGCGTCAAAGGAGGACGAGCATTTTTGGCCAAAGTTGGAGCACCTCGGATAGGTTCCTTAGCTTTCGGATTACCGTACGGCAAAATATTAGTTTTTCTTTTGAAAAAGTGCCGTTAACGGTGCATATCGTTAGCGCTATAACAGAATATTTCCATCTGAAATTCCGACGAGAGACTAAAACGAGTGGTAACAGTTGGCGTTTGAATATTTCGCGAAAAAAGGCGAGAATACTTTTTGGACAAGCCGGTATTCGACGATGGAGATTCGGACCCTGCGGAAAGAACGCGGCCTAGATATTCGTCGACCGTGGAACTTAGCATTTTCTCGGCAATTTTTGCGCGGACCGCGTCCGACGATATTCGATTTTGCGAGGTCACGTATGCGTTGGTAAAAGGGAGACGGAGTGCACCGTCAACGAGCACGATTTCATCTTCGTTTTCCTTTATCGCGTCGATTATCCCGAGTTACCTGGAGCTCTGTGCTAGTTGAGAGAGCGGACAGGTGAAAAGGAGGTTTCCAGGAATAATATTTGTCGACGGACAGAGCGAACGGACGACTCGCGCGCTTAGAAGACCAGAATCAATAGCGTCAGCCCAACGAAAATTTTATTTTCCAAGCTTCTTCTGAATAAATGTTGACTCTGATCGTCGCGTTTCCGTGCAACGCGAACATTTCTTCGAACCTTGTTCGACGAGCGTTCGGTGCACGACAAGATCAGAGATATTTGAAAAAATAAAGTAAACGTTAATGGGCGTTTAAAGGTCGATGCGGTGTTCCACGATTTCGAGACCGAATTGGTTCAGATTTTGCGCGGTGGTTCGGTCGGACGAGGTCAAAGGTCGGAGGTGGTCGCGAAAGATCGATTCGATTATCCCGTCTGCGGAGACGCTTGAAATTCGCGGAGATGGAAACGTTTCGGGGACGTATAGCGCAAAAATTTCCATGCTCGCCGATGAACGAACGAGCGTATCCCGTATCCAATATAGCTTCTTTATTTAAAGATCCGTCGGTATTAACGATTTTCGCGTGTGTTTCCGGTGCACGGTGAAGCTACGGTTTATCCGACTGCTTGTTCAAGCGGCAGTGTTTTGAAAACGTGCCAGTACATCTCGACGCTACACGAGCACCGTGCGCAGTCAGGGCCCTCGTCAACAAAAAAGGAACAGAGAGGAAAGAAAAACGTAGAACGTATGAGTAGCGTAGCACAATTCATGGTCGTGCCGTATGTGTATTCAGTCTTTCCGATGAAACAGTTGTTATTTTGTGGTTGCCACGAGTGCGCCGGGTAGATACACCGTCGGAATGGAATGGTTCAGGCGGATAGCAAAGCGGAGCGGAGCAGGCCAATATCGCTCTCTGTCCAATGCCACTGGTATGAGCACGTTTTTGCCCTGCCACGCTTGAATCTTGAGCAACGATCGAACGTAACGTGTAACGTTTGCATCGCAACGAGACTGCAGGTTGTAAGGGAGATGCACAGTTCCGATTCATCGAGCCGACCAGTCACTGGAGCGGAGTAGCGGTGCGCTCGAGTTGACAGTAGTATACACCGTCACTGGTCAGACGGCCGTACGAGAAATCTTCCTGCGCCACGGTTATTGTTGTTTCGCGTCTTTCATACTTCGTTCGACTATTTGCTCTCGTTGTCGTGAATATTGTGCGATCGTATAGTTAAACGGCAGAAAAATGCTTCTTATTAAATCAGCATCCGTAAAAGTGACGTATTAAATTAATGGCGTGGATTTAAGCCGAACAATAGCACGGCTATTTCTAGAGATTCGCCTTAGCCTCCGGTATCGACGTCGTCTAAAATAGAATTTCCAATTGTGCCGGTTCGTAGTAACGCCAGCAGTTTACGAGCAACGACAAAGCTTGCGCGCTGTTCCGCTTTTTACGATTTCAAGACGAAAGCCGGTCAAGCCGACCGATCTACCAAGAAACGTTACTTTATCGTTTTTTTTCTGCGTGCGTTCTGTCGTAGGTGGTATTACAACAGGAATCAGAGAGAAGAGCCGATCGAGGACACGTCCGGGCATTACATGGTGAGAGACGGTTCGCTGATCATACAAGGCGTTCAGGAGAACGATGCTGGCTCGTACATGTGCACCGCCAGTAATTCGGAGGGCAGCGAATCCATGGAAGTGAGGTTAACGGTGTCTGCGCCATTGAGCGTTCATGTTCAGCCGTCGATTCAAACCGTCGATCTTGGAAAAGCCGCTCATTTGGTAATTGACGATTTCCGTGTGGATTTATACCAGCCGATTCCGGTAATCCGTGGTGCGAATCAATGCGACCCAACGGGGAAGCTTGGACAAAGGTTCTCACTACCTTTTATGCCCAACCGTTTTGACGATAATATCGCGTACAGTTGAAAACATCGGTCGCGTTAAAATCCGAGCTGAGCTCTAATACCAAAGATTTTTATTTTTCATAATATTTTTTTAATTCTATTTAAAATTCGACGAAACGCGTTCGCAAAAATTGAAATTGCCAATGGCATTTTATTCGCGTTCCGCATTGTTCAAAGATTACTATACGCACTGTTTCACGATTTAATAACGGCTTTCCAATATGCGCCGCTGTTGTTGGTTATCAGTGTTTCGTCACGGAACATATTTAATATAATGTTTCATTTACATTGTTGAATTCAATGATATTGCCACATTTTGTTTACGAACGCGTTGTAATAACCTTAATAACTTTGTACATAATATACGGCGTCCGCGGTCGATAAAGGGCCGTTAGATTGACCTATAATTTCATTTCAATTGCAAAGGCCGCGCATCGCGTCATCGTAACAGCGTTTAACGTTGCTTACATTCGTGCGGCGCATAACTTTTTCACGCTTAATGGTAAATCGCCGGAACGCGATTGCAAATTAATCGTGTCGGTTTCATAACATACAAGTTGTTCATTTCGGTACAGCGATTAAATTGCCGTAACGATTATGCCGTTCCGATAAATCTTTGTTTCTGAAAACTGCGCGTCGACGGACAAAATCGTCGGTCGTAAAGCAACTAGATTCCAATTTTCGCGGTGAATTGTTAGCTCGTATCCGGACCATTTACCACGGTCCACGTTTGTAGCGTAACCCGATTTTTACGAGAGTAGCAGGATAAGGCGGCGGTACACGTTCGGTGTTAATGTTTGTTTTCTCGCAACGTATCCGCTGGACCAACTATGTCGGCAATCTTGTTTTCGAAGGGGGAAAAGACTGAGAAGATTCGAGGGCATTCTCGTGTCGGCTGGGCACGGTTATACCGGCCGACTCTCATCAGTACCCTTTCTCTGAACTGCTTTTCAGACGTGCAGCGCAAGTGGATTTCCGCAGGCTGCGCTCTACTGGTTGAAGGACGGTCAGCCATTGAGAACGGGTGCTCGCATAAGGGCGGTATCCAGGGAACGTATTTCCGTGATGTCGGTTGCACGGGAGGATCGCGGCATGTACCAATGCTTTGTGAGGAACGAGTATGAAATGGCTCAAGGAATTGCGGAATTGCGGCTGGGTGGTGAGTTTTCTTTGTTTGCTTAACGTTTGATTCTATTCTGTGCCACTGGTGCAACCTGCATGTGGGGGTGAAGGCTGGAAAATTCGAGTAAACAGAGACCCGACGTTAATTGAAGTTGGAAGTCTAATTTATACCTTTTACACTTTGAACGATCATCGCGGACTATTCGTAATAAAATATAATACTTGAAATACCGATGAAAACATGCCCGAGGAAGCTCCACGAGAAAGAAGAATTCGCTTAACGATAAACAGTAGTCGAATAGAAACGCAAAGTATTGTTACTGCAAAGAAAACCGTGGTAGACAATATCGGATTATAAATATACCGATTCATGCACGCTGATTAACAGAAATACCGTTTCACCGGTAACCTCGTGATACGAGAATCGCTTTATTAAATTGTCGTTAAAGCATATTCAAGATTGCCCGTTTAATTCCTCATCCTCTCTACATAATAATCTTTTTCTCCCGGCGGATGAAGCTCGAGCTACCCTGCTGACTCTCGCGTAATATCCATTATATCGTTTAAACGATTTTAAACAACCATTTCTCGTCTCGTTTCCCCTTCTCCGAGGATAGCTCGCGAAAACAGCTTAACGAACGTTCCGCGAAATGAAACGTTTAAGACAGTCCAACGTGGCGTCTAATGACATCACGGAAACAGCCACAGCTCTCAATTACGTCCGATTTCTCCGTCGTCTTTCGAATCATTCCTCGTTAAATTTTTCCCAACTTCGACCAAAAAGAGTCGTAGCAGTCGACGCGGCGATAAGAGCCGAGGACGTTATCTTTCGATTTTGCTCTATTTTTTGAAGCGGAGATTTCCCTGGCTCGGCGATGGGAACGAGGTTGAACCGATGTTTGGAAGACAGACTTCTAGTAGACTCCGGGACGACGAAAGAGGCGAAAGGGTTGGGGTGAACTTGTTTGTCGAGCGAATGGTTCCGCGGTGATAGGTTGCCGGTGGTTAATGCAGTGGAACTCCTCCCCATACGATCCATTCCAGGTTTGCGTGGCACTCCATCGTAACGCGTTTTCCATCACGGAGCCGCACTGCTTTCCTCCAGGGAAGTACGTGCCATTTTTGCGCGAAAATGGCCACATCTCTCTCCCGATCGTGCCTCCAGCTGGAAATCGCTGTTTGCCACCCGTTAATCGCGCTCGCTTCGAATCCAATGCTTTTAATTATAGAATCTCACCAGCCGTCGTTCGTGCTCGTCGCGTTCTTTTCCTTGTTGATTTTAGCTGCTTTTAGATCGAGGAAAATTCAATTCCCCATCGATGGAGAATTTTTTTGACCGCGATATCTTCTTATACATATACAGTATTGTATGACGTTAATAGACCTGGAGTGTTTTGTCCAACGAGATTTAATTCGATCTCCGAAATCGAGGAAATGGTTGTCGCGGATAATGGAGAAGGTAGATTGAATCGAAGCAGTGATTTGATTTGTAAATTCGTAAAATAGGGAGCGTTTTAATTAAGGCAGAATATTTAATTAGCTTCCTATTGTGGGAGCGGTAAAAGCACTTTAGACACGATTTAAATAGTTTTAAACGGGCAACGTTTTAAAGCTTAATCTTAGTATAAAATGACAAGATGTTTCGTTACAGAAAACCTAGATACTTAATTTAGAACGAGTTAATTCTTTCGTTTTTGGCTAAACGGATTTTAAAATTAGAGGCCTACAAACGCTTTCTTCGACCCTCTTTTTCATCTGACAATAAAGTGTGTCAGCGATTACGATCGACCGTGTGTCCCAGTGTCGCTTTCCAGCATGTTATTTCGATGTAAAACAGCCGTTAGTTCGATATACGGCAACGGATCGACTTGTTTTTTCGAGTTTTACGTTGGCGAGTTTTCGTATTTGTTGCCAGTTACGCTATCCCGTTCCGTTTCGAGAAATGGACTTGTATGTTTTTTCCATTAACCGTATCTAGCCGGTACGCTGATCGATACTACGAAGTTTATGGTTCCGAAGATTTCAATTAAAACACTTTTACCAAGGCAGATTGCGATCGGCTAGAACTCGGTTACAGAGAACAGAGCTGTCTATCTGTCGATTTCGCGGAACACCAGCCTCCAACGAACGAGAAGATTTCGCGTCGACCGAGTATCGTTCGTCGTTCCAAAACTCTGGGAAAAGGTATTTTCCATCATGGAGTCGTTGTGCCTCGGGCTACGCGGTATTTTTGTAGGAAAATGGCCTCGTTTGCCCTCCGTCGTTCGGTCGCGTGCACGCGGGACCGATGTTGCGTATTAATATGGTCTATCGAGAGCAACGGCTACGCGATACGCGAATTTTCCCCCCTGGAAATATAATAAAACCAATTTATCGACACTATATTTTCTCTCTTTTTTCCGCGAATCTATGGAATGACGTCGTTCCTCGAACAGCGCAACAAACAGAAGACTTTTTCCAAATATTAGAGTCGTATTAATTCGCTAGATTTAGAACTCGCTGCGCGTTTTATTGCCAACTGTGGTCTACATATCTGAAAGATTAATTGGAAATATCGAACAGGCGGGGAATGCACTCGAGGCAAGAATTCTCGATATTTTTCAAGGAATAATGCGATTTTGTTCGATCCGAAATTCAATTAAAACTCGATTTACGAACGGAATTAATTATTCTCTTTTCTTACGATTGCGCGGAAAGTTCCTTACGTACTTTCTTAGTCGTTAAACGCGGCCCGCGATATAGCGGGCTTCCGGTAAGTTTGATAGTCGTTGAAACTTCAACTTCTCTTTCGTTCGCTGTTGGCCTCCATTTCACTGACCACGATTCAAAGATACAATTGTTGCCGTGTTCTGAAAGCTTGTACGGTTTGTTTTCTCTTTCCGTCGATTCGAGTCCTGTCGAGCGTCAGAGGTGAAACTATTTCCTCTCTCGCCACGCCCGCCGCCATCCCATTCTACGCAAGGGGTAATTGAAGGGGCGAAGGAGAATAGCTTCTTAGTGGCCAGACGCTGCGATAGAAACAAGAACAGCGGCAAAGAACGGTAATGGATTCAACCTTTGAACGTTTCACCTGCAATCGGCCCACGATAACCTGCCGGGACTGCGAATTAACCGCGGCAAGCGATTTTTCATTTGGTTTAAAAGGGACGGTGATTGCGCGGTTATTTCCTTCCTTTTCGGCTTACCTCGAGAACACGTATTTCGCATGTTTATGTGTACTTCCACGCTCATTAAATATTATTAACACTTTGCATTCACACAAAGATCCTTTTTTGTTCCCTTGTATTAATATTATTTTTCCGCGTTTCACTGCTCTTTGATTCTTTTTATCGAGCTCTGTATACAAATACTTGTAATTTCTTTCTCCGAGTTTATTACCGATATTATATTTCTTCTTGACGATGTGGCTTCCATTGTTGAGATCGCAGGAAGTCAGTTTCTCTTGAATTCCATTATTTGCGAGTACGGCCTCGTTCAATTTATTCCTCTTTTTTGTATCTGCAGTAACGATCTCTTCCTTCTACATCAATAGTACCGGATAATATCAGTTTGGATAGGCAAAATAATGTCGGAACCGGCGTGAATATATCGATCGGCGATTCATCGATGGGTCGTGCAAATCTATATTGAAAATGGGAAAGTTGACCCATCATTAAAATTCTTCTTGGTCGCATGATTTCAAAGCTGCCGGGCATACAGTGTACATTAGGTGGGGATTGCCTGCAGCACGATGAGATAGTTAGTACCGGTACCCAGGATTTGCATACGCTAACGAGATTCCTGCGGTTTTGCCGATGCTTAGCATGCTGGCCGAGCACGATCTCGCTCCAGCCCGAAGCTCTAGCTACGTCTATTTATTATGCGTCATAGATACGTCAGGGAAGAAGGCACGCCAGAGGGAAGGAGCAGTAAACAAGAGGGACTCCAAAGAGTTACGACACGTTCATGATTGTCGCAAGTACATATACCAGTTCGCGTATTCGACTACCGAATATCGTGCCATGTACTTTGTTTAACTTCACCGTTCAATTCCTCTCGAATACTAAATTAGGAACGGTGTTAGAATCCCTCTGGGCTCTGTCTAAACTCTGCCCGAGCTTTTTCAACGCTTCCCTAGAGTTGTCCCGCGGCTCTTTCCACTTTGTAAGGTTCCCCTTAGGATTCGCCGGTTTCTCAAGATTTTCTCACGCGATCTGTGTACAATATACGTATTTGACGAGTGTAATTTGATTCCGCCATTACGAGTAATCGGGTTACGAGTCCGCTCGAAGGGCGAGCAATTAAAAGGCACAGAAATGTAATTCGGTTAACGACCGACTAAAGGCACGTTTCGCCCTAAAGATCGATGGCGACGCAATTATAATATACGAGCGATTTCGAACCCGGAAACGTTATACCGGTTAAACGAAAGGCATCGTTTAGAGAGGGTCTAGAATCTCAAACGAACCGGAAACGAAAAATTCGTTCCCTTACCCCTTAATACGCTAAATTAAGTTTGTAGACGAGTTGCGCTCGCGGTCGTTGCATCCGTTTCCGTGGGATTTTTAATTTACATTGCTACCAAGCAACGGACGGACTACGTTCACGAGTACTGGTTATATTTAACGACAGGCTCGGCTATTATTTACACGGTCCTCCTTTTCTTTTCTGGGCAAACTATAAACAAGAGGTGCTTTCTGTTCGCGTTTCATTAACATCGAGCCAGCTCGTTGAACCAAACTCTCGTGCCTCGTAAAATTATCGAGCGCGAAACAGGCTCGTAGATACATACATACTCGCAAACGTGTATCGAAGGATCGGTTAAATTCCTAATCGAGGATGAAATTTCAAACATACCATCGCGTTACTGGTCGCACGGGACCCGGGAAAAACGCAGGAGAGCGAACGATAACCGTACGGTCGCTATCTCTTTCATCTGCATAATTTTACAATAAATACGAAACTCCGACAAAAAGAAGTGGAAAAAGAGATATGATACATTGCCAGAGGAGAAATAGCAGGGAACTCCGAGAGCTTAGTTATGATAAATATTTTGTCTTGCCCTTCGTTTTAAACCGTTTCGGTAAACACGGTCACAAAGGCTCTCGTGTATCTTCAAAGATTATTCCACGTACCTACTGAAGGATCTTAGGGCTCAAACTAACCCGTAGCCGGCTACCAAGACGGAGTAACAAGCCCGGATAATTGGACAGACGTAATTGTTAATTTATTAATAGCTTCTTTAGACGGCCCGTCTTTTAATTATACGCGCGGTGCCGACGTGACGGTGAATTTTTATGAACGAGCACACGAGCGAACCCTCACGATGACGAACTTTGCAGGACAAGATAATTAAAAATTATTTCGCGTCATATTTATTACGTATCGCCACGCGTGCTGCCGGCGCGAGTAGTACAAGTCAAGCTTTAGGCAGACGGAGCCCCGCTGCAGTCCTGTGGCGGTAAAGCAAAAACTTACCAGACAACTGGCGATTGAACTACGTAGAAAAGGGACGAAGTTTCATCAACGAATAAAGGGCGGAATCGTAAGAATCACAGTATGCATGCGAAAAGTTTGAAGGAAGTCGTCGTTGTTATTTCATAGCCGACGTGCTCGCGCTTATGAACTTCATGAATTCATTACCGGGCATGGTCGTTACGCGGAACGGCACGTTCATTTAGAGCCCTTCTAGAACTGGAACGCATATCTGCGAACATCGTACCGTGGTTATGCTCGATGTTTTTTCATCGAGAGTCTCGGGAAACCTCTTTATGTCCCGCGAAACCATTAATCTCTCGGCCAATTATTTAACACAAAATCATGTTAGCGAGGAGCACACTGCGATTCGATAGGGAATCGTATCGAGCTCATTACGCGTGTAATCGCGGATGCTTCGAAACCGCCTTTGTCAGTCGACGAGGGCGAAACATTAGGTCGCGTCGAAGCTCGTTAACGCTTTGGGAGCCGGGCAATTTAAGCGTCCCAATATCGTGTTTCTCGCGATGTCGTTAAAGTGGAAGCTTTCATTAGCACCGCTAAGAAGCGCCGTTAATAGCGGCGTATATTCGTGAATCGAATATTTGGATACCCGAGGTTCATCGGATGAAATTAAACGACGCTTGAAGCTATTTTTTTCGAGTCAAAAGAGAAATTGATCGCGTTGACCGCTCGCGAAGGCTCGATCGAAAGGGAAAACCGACGCTACTGTCGGAACGCGTTCCACGGAAAGAGAGAAAAGAGGTCGAAGGACGAAAGGCGAGAAGGCTCGACAAAGCCGCTCAGGTATTTCGATTCTTTCAGGTATGTGTAATCCGAGCATAACGTCTGTTAACAGAGATCGCGCCGCAGCTGGTCTACAGGTTTATCGAACAGACAATGCAGACTGGTCCATCGGTTTCCCTGAAATGCAGCGCCGCGGGTAATCCCACTCCTCAAATTTCCTGGCTGCTGGATGGATTTCCGCTTCCACAAAACGACAGGCTCCTGATTGGCCAGTACGTGACCGTGTATGGGGACGTAATATCGCACGTTAACATTTCGTCGGTGAAGTCCGAAGATGGCGGGGAGTACGAGTGCATCGCGAGCAGTCGAGCTGGCGAGGCAAGCCACTCGGCGAGGCTCAATATTTACGGTGAGTCCTCTATAGAGAAGATAGAAGGATTGTTAAGGAGAAGAATTGGCTGACGGTGTTGATTGAAATTGACTGGAAACCCGGGGGAATATTACGTTTCTCTTTCTGTGCTCGCATCGACCGGCGTCAATATCGCGGCTCGATGGGATCCTTTGTTATTAACCGGCACCCGTTAGCCAGAGGGGTGGTTTTCGTTAATTAAAAACCGCCTCTTGCAGCTTTTTTTGTTTTATCGGCAGATTTAACGGGCCGCGATCGTTCTGGCCTGGCGCACACAGATGAAAATCGGGAAATTTGAAAAGCTTTGATACTGACACAGAGAGAACGATTTAACGTTGGAGGAGTTATCTCGAACGTTTCCTTCGTGCTAGAAGGGAAATTGATTTTTGATAGTCTGTCTCTTTTGTCGATCACGAGCAAGCACGGAGAAACGTTATTGCAGAAATAGTTTGACGGAACAAGAAGTTGGTAATCTGAATTTCCATAGTTGAAAGTTCGAGTCCCGTGCATCGCCGACTCTTTGGAATTATTCTCGGTATCTATAGGGAAACGTTGTACGCGAGACGAGTCGACGAAGAGAAAAACATCCAAGTTTCTGTTTCGTCAGGGAGCGAAACCCTTAAAGTCTGGGAAGCCTCCTACGAAAATTAATTGAAATATTTACTTTTTGCGGGAAAGAAATTTTTGATAACTTTCGCGGTGGCAATCATCGCAACGCGCGTGTACGTTTTGTTGCTTGTCAATCACAGGTTTGCCGTACGTCAGACCCATGTCGACGGTTTCGGCGGTTGCTGGGAAACGGTTTCACATCAAATGCCCAGTCGCCGGCTATCCTATCGAGTCGATCGTTTGGGAAAAAGGTAAGCAACTCTCTGTTACTTCCATTAATTATCTTAAGGAATCGCGTTAACAACGATTGTAACGATCAATCTTAACGATTAGTGTCTTGCGATTGCTCTTGATAGTAATTTTGATTTTCAATACAGTATCTGTTTACGAATTGTTTGGTTACCGTGTTGGCAGACGGTGTAAGATTGCCTACTAATATGAGGCAAAGGGGGTGAGTCCTCTATAGAGAAGATAGAAGGATTGTTAAGGAGAAGAATTGGCTGACGGTGTTGATTGAAATTGACTGGAAACCCGGGGGAATATTACGTTTCTCTTTCTGTGCTCGCATCGACCGGCGTCAATATCGCGGCTCGATGGGATCCTTTGTTATTAACCGGCACCCGTTAGCCAGAGGGGTGGTTTTCGTTAATTAAAAACCGCCTCTTGCAGCTTTTTTTGTTTTATCGGCAGATTTAACGGGCCGCGATCGTTCTGGCCTGGCGCACACAGATGAAAATCGGGAAATTTGAAAAGCTTTGATACTGACACAGAGAGAACGATTTAACGTTGGAGGAGTTATCTCGAACGTTTCCTTCGTGCTAGAAGGGAAATTGATTTTTGATAGTCTGTCTCTTTTGTCGATCACGAGCAAGCACGGAGAAACGTTATTGCAGAAATAGTTTGACGGAACAAGAAGTTGGTAATCTGAATTTCCATAGTTGAAAGTTCGAGTCCCGTGCATCGCCGACTCTTTGGAATTATTCTCGGTATCTATAGGGAAACGTTGTACGCGAGACGAGTCGACGAAGAGAAAAACATCCAAGTTTCTGTTTCGTCAGGGAGCGAAACCCTTAAAGTCTGGGAAGCCTCCTACGAAAATTAATTGAAATATTTACTTTTTGCGGGAAAGAAATTTTTGATAACTTTCGCGGTGGCAATCATCGCAACGCGCGTGTACGTTTTGTTGCTTGTCAATCACAGGTTTGCCGTACGTCAGACCCATGTCGACGGTTTCGGCGGTTGCTGGGAAACGGTTTCACATCAAATGCCCAGTCGCCGGCTATCCTATCGAGTCGATCGTTTGGGAAAAAGGTAAGCAACTCTCTGTTACTTCCATTAATTATCTTAAGGAATCGCGTTAACAACGATTGTAACGATCAATCTTAACGATTAGTGTCTTGCGATTGCTCTTGATAGTAATTTTGATTTTCAATACAGTATCTGTTTACGAATTGTTTGGTTACCGTGTTGGCAGACGGTGTAAGATTGCCTACTAATATGAGGCAAAGGGTCGCAAATGGCAGTCTGTTCATCGATACGGTCCAACGGGCTGCCGATCAAGGCACCTACACATGCACTGCCAGAAACAAGCATAACTTCACTTCTCAACGTTCGGTTGAGGTTCGCGTTCTAGGTGAGTGAGCGAAAAGCAAATATTTCCCGATACAGATCTCTTTTACAGGCTTCACCGGGAGCAGAGCGATTTAATTTGCCGAGTTATTCGAACTCTATTGGTCACGTACGTCCACTGTTGGAAATTCACTTTTATTCGTATCCCGTAGTTCGATGTTCCGAGGTCGATAACGTACAAATTAATACATCGATGGATGCTTTCGAACGTCAACCTATCTCGAATACCTCTTTTTTCGTTCATAGGGAAAGATTGGAATTCTTCGTATATTTCCATGAAATTTTTCTAACCAATTTGGGATATATATTTGCACGGGACACTTGCTTCGAATCAGTCGATAATATAAGTTTACACCGTTCTCTTTTTCGATTCTGATTCTGATAAAACCGGTATCTCTCCCAGCTAAAAACTCGCGAATCTACGAGAGGCGACAATCTTTCCCCTATGATGTTCCGAACGATTTTGATAGAAAATTGTTCATTCGCTGTCGATATCGAAACAGTGTACCCTGTACGTGATCATTCGAGGCATAAAAGAACGATTATCAAGCGATAATCACGGCACTAAAATCCCTTTGTTCGATACGCTTCCCTATTTCCCGTCCGTAATTTTCCATCCCCACGGCAATAGCGTATTAATTACAATTCGTGTATGCATAACATCGAGGCGTGTTTGATGCTCGCCGCGAAATTTACCTTCACACAAAATGTTTCTATATTAGGTTTACGGAGTGAATTCCGTGTACTCCATTGTTCGTCGTTGGCCAGGATTAGTTAACGCCTGGCAGCATTGCTTTGTATTCCCCCTACTGTCATGATTTTGTACGCTAAATTTTCGAAACGACCGCGCCGCGAGTCGCGAGCAACGAGCTTCGAAACCTATCGTCGTCGTCTTGTAATTGTCGCGTTATTTGTCTTTGCCCCTCTGCGCGTTCTATTTTTCTTTCGAGAAAGAGTTCATTCGATAATGACGACTCGTAAGTATCGTCAAGACTAATTCAATTTCGAGCAAACGGAAGTACGTGCAGTTTAATCGACGTTGCCTCGCGAGGGACGACTTGAAATACTGCTGTAACTGTGATCCGAAAGCTGGGGAAGTGCGGTAGAAGTTCTGAAAAAAAAAAGAAATTCGAGAAACTTGCCCGTAAGTTACCCTTAAAGGATTCTCTGGCAGACGTTCCAGTGGTGCAGGAATATTTTACCCTCTAACCCGGCTATCTTTTGTACACTTTGAGAAGTCCTCGAAACCGATTTCTCCGAGTGATCGATTCGTCTCGCGAAGAAGCAGAGAAAACATCGTTCGCGAGAAGAATCGTGCTCGAAGATCGAAAGGGATTCGAAATTTTACAGTCGAAACTAATTAACTGTACTTCCGAGTACTATTACTCGCGTCTGTTTACTCGTCTGCAACAGGACCGCGCCGATTATCGTGATTACGTTGCCTTCCTGCTCCACTGGAACCGTCTCGCGTGTTGCGGCAAAGGAGGCGATCAAAGGGAAGCGTGTACACGATGCACACTATTCGCGTGTACCGAATGCTTCTGTGAAACGTAATCGTTCGGTTAACGAAGTTGTAATTCGTTGCAAGCTTTCTGAAAAGATTCTCGAGACGCAGGAGTTTTATCTCGGATTACTATCGTGCACGGTCTGTCCAAGTTCCGATGAGAAATCTTCAAAGTCGCGAGCAGTCGTAAAGAGATTCATAAATCAGGAAATTTTCGCGAGATACCTTCGAAATTCCTTGGACAAACTGTGTACGCGAAGTACAATTACGATGCAATTATGTGTACATAGATGTGCGTTAGGGTCCGTGTACGTGTGCGTGTATGCGTCCACCCCCTCTGTCTGTCATTCTATCTTTCTTTGTCTCTTCTGTCTATGTGCGTCAACGGATATCCGTGCGTTTGACAACACTCGCGAACGAACCCACGCACCAGAGCACAGCACTTCACTGCATCGCTCAAGCATCTGTCCTTGCACGCGCTCGCCTAACTGCTCTGTATATTATTATTCCGTACGTGTACCGTTTGTACATAAAAATTCATAACGCGGCGATGCCTGCGTATCCACTATCTTGCGAAGAAGGATACGAGGACGCTACGTCTGTACGTGCCCGCATGGATACACGGAACGCTTACCGTCGCACGATCCGCTCCGACTTAATCGGCTCGTACATCAAGCAGAGAAACGATCGTGACTGGTTAAAGAAATTTTACGAGGGGACGTAACACGATAGCGAAGTGAAAAATATCGCTGACCGGGTTAATATCGTCACGACGACGGATGTCATTGATATTCGCGTTTTATACGCGATATTATGCCCCGGAGCGCGACCTATGAAAAATTGATCGTTTCTGGTCGCTTAGCTCGGGCAAAAGATGTTCCTTTTAACCGAATAACTTTATGAATTAAAGCGCTTGACGAGAGTATCAGTCAATGACGTGTCAGAGACGCTTTTATCGATGGATTCTGTGCGATGTACGGATAAAGGATATCGGATTTGCAGGGCGGATAGTAACTGTTAAGCTCAGGGAAAAATATTTGGTGAACGAGTGTTACAGGATCAATTGTTTTAGAGCCCTATGAAATTGTTGGTTTTGTTTGTAAATTTAACAGCCGATCGCGAAATCGTTCGTAATTCCATTAAGCCGCGTCGCTCCGAACACGGTTATTTCGATCGGAACAGTTAACGCGTTGATCGCTGCGAGGGTCACCAGCATCGTAATTTAATAATTATTCGTTCGAATAATCGAAAGAATTATTATCCACTATCTTCTCTGCAAATCGTGAATCGTTTCTAAAAGGATTTCAATCCTAAACATTGTCGTATCTTGCCGTCTCGCAACATCTTAACGCGATATTCCAGCGACATTGATTTCGAACGCTCCCATTTTTGCATATCAATCACTTGTATAAATCGCAGCCAGTGTTCGACGAAGCGTTCCGTCTATTCTATCCCGTGTGCACGCACTTGTACATAAATATGCTGTTGTCGAAGCATCGATATTCTATTACCGTGAGTCGATCATCGTTTCTTTAGCGCGTTGTGCACTTTACTGCTCTGTTCCGCATAACCATGATACTGAACAAGTACGATTTTATCGACAATTTTTATAATCGAAGGAAGAGAAACTAATGATGACCGAATCGTGAAAATTCGCGAAGGAATCCTGTTTATCGTTGAACGGGTGAATTTCGAATTGACTGCAAAAGCTGGCTAATTCGCATGCAGAATCGAGGGGATCGCTCGACGAACGAGTTCATTAATACGATTCGAAGGGAGGGTGAATTTTTCGCGAATTTTTCATGCCACTCTAGAGGAGACGCAGCGATGAAATCGCCCAACCCCGTCACACGAGAAAAGTGAAAACCGATCAACGAAAAATTTTACGCCGCGCCGGTCACGATTAAATATCGATTATCCGGCTTGTTCCTATAACTCGTCGGTTTATCGTCGAACCGTTCAAAGTAAAGAAGCGTATTGCGTGATGTTACAATTACCGCTAGCTGGAGCGTCAGTGTGCGATATTGACAAATAAAAATAATAAAAAAAGGGAAGTACGGAAGAGGTAAAACATGAGCGTAAAGCGAGCGGAAGAGATATAATTACGCGAGCAAAGCACGTTTGAAAATTGCGTTTCGGCGAAACTGAATCGGACGGATGTAATTCGAACATTCGATTCCCCGATTAACTTAATCGATTTAGCAACAAAAATGGGAAAAGCTTGTATCCCTACGATCAATCTGGTATCTGAATGGGGGTATACAGAAATTTGTTTCGCTGGCGACGATTTTTAGCGAGTTACGCGCGATGATTGCCTATTAACTCTTAATTGGAAAGATTAAATACGCGCCGCGTAATCGTTCAAAACGTTATCAATCGGATTTTCACGAAAAAACTACAGCTTCGAGTGCGTTATTCGATTAATTGCGCGACTGTATCGTTACCTAATCTTCTTGCAGTAATACGACCGTGAAGTTGATGCGAAAGTAGGAATTGTCGATAAAATAAAGTGTTCGGTAAGCTGATTACGAAATATAGGAACGTTAGCGGTGAAATTCGCAACGCGTCGTCTCTCTGTCTGTCTGATAAGCTATCTATTTTTCTAGACAACCGCAACAACAAACGATATCCTTTGTACGCCGTGCGTTAGGACACTCCGAGCGACCCGACTAACTTCTAAACAAAACTTTAACCAACGAACAAAAATATTCTTTGAAGTTTCTTCAAAGACCTCGCTTTAAGGCTTTAATTTAGTCACACGCGGGCCTGGCCATGGAAATTTAATTAACGCCGCTGTAATTACAAGCAGCACAATATGTACAGCCTTTGACCCGGTGGCGCTTTCATTAAAGCAACCTGGGATTCTATTCGACCTATCGAGATTGTTGGACTGTCCATTGTTTTCGTATTATTTTGGTCAATGCTCGCACGGCGTGTTCTACGAACTAGCTTTTCTTTTAACGATGCTTTCAGATAAACGTTGCTCTCTTAAAAAACGTTGCTACGATGTAGCGAAATATCGGAAAATGAAAATTCGAGCATCATCCGACAGCATCGATGGACGATTACGACCGTCTGCGACCGTTCAACGTTGCGTCCTGATTCTCTGTCCCATCCGAATCTCCTCGTGTTTCATCCCCGCCCCCAAAAAAAAGACCACTCTGTCCCCATAAGACACCGCGACTTGTCTATAGCGTTCGTGAATCGCTTTTTTGACTGGAATGCCACCTTTGTCTTTGTATTGTTCTTTCAGTGCCACCTAAAATCACGCCTTTCAGTTTTGCTCGCGATTTAAACGTAGGGGACCGTACTAGCGTACAGTGCGTGGTCGTGACTGGCGATCTGCCACTGACGTTCACGTGGCTCAAAGATAACGTCCCAATAGAGACGATCAGGACGTCGCAGGATGCTACGTCGTCCAGCCATAGCCGTGTTCAGGCACCGGCCAGTCATGGAGACGCGATTAAAGGTCCCAAAAGGGGCCCGAAGGCCGACGGCCA